GTATGTACGGACAGAATAAAGAACTATTTACTACAAAACGGATTCAAAGTAGATATTTGCGTGTGATCAGTGCATACTCATCTGTATGTATTTATCTCAAGTGCCTCAAAAACGCCTAACCACAGAACATTGACATTTTGTGTATGGTAATGTTATAATTTGCAGTTTTCTGTGTCATTTTCAATTTGTCTTGAGGGGTAGGTTAATTAAGTTGGAATAATTCAAGGAAATAAGTTTAAATGAAGTGCTACAATAAGTGTGTATATTTTAATAGATCGTACAAGGAAGTCATATGGTGTCCACGTCAGGTTTTTAAAATTATTTTTCATAAGAGTCAAAACAGTTTGCTTCTTGATCATATTTGCTTCTTGATTTTGGTCAAGATTTATATTTGTTGCTTTTCAATTCATAAATTTGTCTTTTTCCTAAAATAAAGTGAAACCAATTAGTGGATTTATTTTCTAGGTAATTCATGATTTAATTCTTAAGCCACAAATGGTTGTGTTTTCATATAAATCATTGTTATATTAATTCTAAGCCGTAGACATACTGATATTCAAATAATATTGAAGATATCAGTTGTTGAAATTCTCATGCCGAGGAACAGGAAATTTATGTACCAACTAACCTGATAAATATTTATTAGTTATTTCTGTTACTAAGCTGTGTGAAATATTAACTTAAAGCTTTCTAATTTTAAGATATCCAGAATAAAAATATTCTTGAAAGCAATGCTTATAGTTTCACTATAAAATTTGTAACTTGATCCGATCATAAAATATTCTTCCTTCGTGGTAAATCTATTTTCTTGGAACTGTGACCACACATCATCTCAGACTTGGAAAACCGTTTTCCTATAAAGAGCAGTGCTTTCGGAAAGAGAGCTTTTTAGTGGATCGGCGATTTCAAAAAGAGAATTTTCTTGGATCATTGTTGTATCCTCTTAACATTTGATGGATTTATTGCTTTATATTACCCGATTCTTCAGATTTATAGGTTAAATATTTCAAAAACTATAAATTCTTTCTAGTCACTAAGCGCAATATAGTTAAGGTATTTGGAAACTATCTGCTGTCAGATTACGCAACATTGCACTTTTTACGTATATAGTATGATACAATAAAAACTATTCATTTATATTTATGAAATGTTTGAGTTTCATAAGATTTTCCAGTGAATAAAACTGAACGTTCAAAAAAGCATATATATATACATATATATATAAATTTTAACAAACATGTAAATACGTAAAAAAGTAGTGCATATGTAAATACGTACAAACATGTAAATACGTAACATACGTAACATACGAAACATGTAAATACGTAACATACGTAACATACGAAACAGTAAATACGTAACATACGAAACATGTAAATACGTAAATACGTAACATACGAAACATGTAAATACGTAACATACCAAACATGTAAATGCGTGTATATATATATGCTATATATAAATTTTAGTTTTATTAGTAGTCTTATTATTCACTTCATTTACTTTTATTCTACCTTTTCTACCTATTTATCGTGTTTTAATTAACAATAACCATTTTTCATCTTGTGGTTTATCTATTTACTGTGGTTAGCAATCAGTTATTTTAGGTCGCTGAAAAATATCATTTATTGTTGCAGATGTTCTTGGATGATTTATTAATAATTCACTACTTATTACAGATTTTCTAATTGTATATAGTAGCTTACGTTACGGATCTAATAATTATTATATAGCTTGAAGATTACAGAAAGTGGAAGAACAGTTCTGGGAATTCAGTAACAATTATTAATTACATTTCATTATATCTGCGATAAACTGCCTTAAAATCAATTAAAATTATTACTGCATACATTACGTAAATTTCTTATTTATAATGTGCTTTAATTAATGGTTTACTTTAACGAGTAATTATTCGCAATAATATAGAGAGTGTAAATGTATAGGCATGCAATGATGATGAATGTCTAAATTATCAATATGGAACCGAATCTGTTCTAAAACATTGCAAGTTTGGAATGGGAATTATAAAAATTTAGAAATTACCTTGCACTGTAACTCAAAGAATAACTATAAATTTCCTAAATTTGAATTTCGTACTTCAGAAACTTTCGAAAATTTTAAAAGCATTGAAGAGTTTTATAATAATTAACTCACTTATGCACCTGTTCTATGATTTCTATTTTCGTCATCTCCCAACAGGGTGTAAATAAGTTAATACATACAGTGGTGGCAAAAATTGTGGACACTTTTGGAAATTTTTATGTTTTTGAACTTTGTACGCTTATAGAAAACGTTACGTTTCACAAAATGCAAACTTGTAACATCATTTTAAAGAGAATTTATTACTGAATTCAATACAGGTTCAAAATTCGGTTATTCAATTATTTGCAATACAAAAAAAGTTAAACGATAATAGTTATCGATATACATTAGATAGTGATGATTGCAGTGAGTTATCAGTACATAATAGGGTACCCTTTATTTTTGATTACAGCTTCACATCGACGTTTCATTGAGCTGACAAGAGTTTTAAGCTCTTCTTTCGTTATTATATGATGCCAGGAAACAATTATAGCCTCAATTAGTTCCCTTTTATTTGATGGGCGCCTCATTCGGACAAGAGTTTCAAACGGTGCCACAAATTTTCGATAGGATTGAGGTCAGGACTGTTTTCTGGCCATTACAACAATTTAATGCTATTTGTACGAAACCACTCTTTCGATATTTTGGCTGTGTGGCAAGGAGCAGAATCCTGCTGAAAAATATACGAAGCATTGTTGGGAAAGAGATCTCTGATGAAAGGTAGAAGTTTTGGTTCTAGAATAGTGTCCATGTATTTTCTGGCATTCAGTGTCCCATCGATGACATGAAGGCGACCAATACCATCTGCTGACATGCATGACCAAATCATAACACTAACTGGGTTCTTCACAGTCAGGATGTAGCTCTTCTCCTATTCTACGTCATCTGTCCAATTAATGTGTTCCTTTGCCCACTGTAGTCTTTTTTTTTTCGTTGCTGAAAATTAAGATAAGGCTTTTATCGTGGAATTCTACCTCTCAGTCCAACATCTGTTAATCTTTTCCTGATTGTTCTTGAACTGACAGAAACACCAGCATCATTCTGATCACTTCTGATGGCCGCTGATGACATTTTCCTATCTTGGAGACATAGTCTTTTTATTCTTCTGTCATCAATAGATGTGGTGCACCTTTTTCGGCCTTTTCCTTCTTTGTTTTTTATTGAATTTGTCTCCTGATATCGTAAACAAAACTTTCTGACTCCAGATGTAGTCACTGAACCACCCACCTAACTTGCAATTTCAGCATAGGAACACAATAATATTACATCTTATTCTAGGGTGTCCAGTCTACTCTTTTATTTGATGTCATTGCTTCTTGACTAAATATTAAAATTTTTTACAAAAATTCCGACTTGTAATTGCAGTGTATAAGAAGCAGGTCCTCCTTCTACAGAACAAAGCAAAATATAATGAATTGTTTCAAGTGTAAACATGATGTCAGCTTCTACTGGCAGTTACTAACATTTGATTGGTTCTCAGAACAAGAACAGTGATTGGCCAGGAAAGCTAGACATTACAAACCACTTCATAACTGTGTTTTTTATTTATATTAAAGTACATATAACTTTTTTGTATTGCAAATAATTGAATTTTGTGTTTTGTATTGAATTCAGTAATAAATTCTCTTTAAAATGATATATAAAAGTTTGCATTTTGCGAAACGTAACATTTTCTATAAGCATACAAAGTTCAAAAACATAAAAATTTCTAAAAGTGTCCACAATTTTGGCTACCACTATACAAGCGCAGTGTTCTAGAGTTTCGGAGGAAATTTTAGCAGCTACTGAAGGCCGCTTATTCTATTATATCTCAATTCTAATTTAATAATTGATCGTCTTCAAATTCTCTAGCCGCGATATTTAGATTAAAATATTGAGTATCGAGCAAAGACACGTGTTTCTTTCTTTCTTTCTTTTTTATATATTTTATTTTTACTCGAATACTTTTTCTGAATCTTGTGCAAGCTGTGGAAGTTGTGTTCCATTGTATTTTTTAAGTTTTGTGTAACCGTCAGATTGTTCTAATTAACAAGTTTGTTTTAAAACTTCAGAGGTTGGCGTTCAATATAGTGTAGAACAATACAAGCAAATCCTTTTATAATTTATATCTTTTCTTTTCTTTTAAAATTTTCCAGCAAATAAATATAAATATATTATAAACCGAAGGTAATATTTCATGCCGTAAAAAATATGAATAATATATTTGCAATAGGTATCGCATGCTATAGTTAAAAAGCAGATCCCAAAATTTGTTTATTGAAAGCTAAACAGAAGTATTTAGTTAAATTTGCAATTTTTTGTGCAGGCAGCTGAAATTTTACTTTTCTTGGATAAACATTTGGTGTAATTAATACAGTAGTACTACAAAGACTGTGCTTAGCAGGTAGATATATAAATAAAAAAAGAACAAACAAAATGGTCTGATATTCTGCACTGAAATATTGCTGCTGTCAAAAAAAGTCAAAGAAAATTGACAAAATCCAATTCTTCTTACTCATGTAAAAAGCGCGAAACAAATAAGTGGGCGATTCCTGAACTTTAGCCGTGTTTTGTTTTCATCGGTAGTATAAAATAGGAGCCAGTTCCTTTTCGAAAGCTTTGAACGAGGACAGTCTTACCAAGGGAAATTAGCCCTTGTTGAATAGATAAATGCATAGAGCATTAATAATTATCTTTAATATTTAAGTGCAATAAAATTCAGTTTTTAAATCCAAGCAGAAAATTGTTTTGATTAAAAATTATAATGACTTCCTTTGAAAGTTTAAAAGCTTACATACTGAGCAACTCCGTTTCATCATTAAAGAAACATGATGGTATTCGGTCAACAAACCGCGGAACTTAAGAGTAACGCTTTTCGCATCTACTTGCATTCGTTTCAAATGCTTTTGACTAATTAATTTATTTCTGTATCTTGACAGATCAAAGATCTGCAGCATGATCACGTGGTCCGGTTCATCGGTGCTGTGGTTGATCCTCCCCACTGCTATCTAGTCACCGAATACTTCCCAAGAGGCAGTCTCCAAGTAAGTGCCTAACTTTCCCATTTCAATGAAAAATTTTCCCACAGCTTAAGTATTGATTGCTCTTATTTTCAGAGCATTTTGTGGATGGCAAAACACTTCAATATTGACTAACTAATATTTTGCCTAAGAATCCATATTAAGGGGTTTTTGCTTTTACAAAAAAGAAGCGATTTGAAGAATAAAGAAGATTTAAATTTAGATTATTGCCAAAGGATTGATAATTTACGCATTTCGGATGAAGAAGACAAATCAAGGAAATTTAAAAAGTACAGTTACAAAGACTGATGTAAATATGTTTTTAAAACTTACTTTTTCTGATTATAAATAACCCTAAGCAATTTACGGATTTTGAAATGGTGGAAAAAACGTTACAATTATTTCAGCTGTTTATTATAATTGATTAAAAGATATTATGTGAAAGAAGAAATATAAAAATAAATTCACAAAAATAATGAAATTAATCGATTGTGAATCATTGAAACTCTCTTATAACATATTTAATTAGACGAAAGTTTAGAAATTGAGACTAATGAAAATAACTATGAGATAGCAGTAGTTTAATTCATGAAGTCAATAAAAGGAAAAACAGAGTTAATATAAGTAAAAAAGCCAAATAAAAAGGAATTTTAGGCAAAGAAATATGAAACAGATTTCGATGTCTGAAAATGTTTTAAAAATATTTTTAAAAAATCATTTAGAGTAACAAATAATAACTGATAAAAATTATCCCATTCTGGAAGATTATAAAATTTTATTTTAAAAATCCGATTATTCATTTCGCTGGATCTTCTCAGATTTATGACTTCCACCTGGTACATTTCAAAATTTAATTAATTCATTTTCCTTATCTAAAGTTAATGTCAGTATCTCGATGATATTCAGTTTTTAATAATGGACTTTCCTTTTTAAAATCAAAACTTTCTCCCTTGAAGTGTTTTCTTCCTTTATTTAGTCTGTCTGCAATTTCACCATTCATGCGGAAGCAATTTATGCATATTAAAATTGCATCGCTTTTTCTGACATTGCCTTCCTTAGGTGGAATGTAGCATGAATTTAATTTTTTTGAAGTGAAGCCTGTACTCAACGAAAGTAATATTTATACACTATCGGTTAAAGCGGCAGAAATCTTTTTGAGAAAATTTGTTTTTGAGGTTTGATGGATCATAGCACTACTCTGTTTTGGAGTGTTACCATGAATTTATCAATGTAAAGCTAAATTTATTAAAAATAGATGTCATTAAATTTTCTGTTTTTTATCAAATTATTTATTATCTGTTTTTATCAAAGGTTTTATCCAGAGAAACAGAAAAAAGAAAAGCAGCTTTATTACATTCATTTAAACTACCTTTTCTTCATTTGTATACAACCAATGATTGCTTATGCAGCTTATCAGACGTTACCTTGTTTTTGTAACCTGTCAATCAGGTCACAATGGAATTCACTTAATGGTGTTATGCATTATAGCTTATATGAAAACAGTTGTCAGTAAGGAACTGCTATCAAATTCGTTAAATCTTTTTTTTTTTTTTTTTTTTTTTTTTTTGGTGTGTGTGTATTATTTAATATAATAAGATTTTAAATCATACTAAAATTTTTAAAAAGATTTAAACAGCTCACTGTCGCTTAGAAAACGATGCAGTACTAGCAAGAGGACAAGATGCAAGATAGTTGCTACCTGTACAGAAATTAGATGTCATACATACATATGTGTGTGTACGTATCTCGCATAGCTTAGAAACCAAGAACGTTAAAATTTTGTGTATGGAACTGCTATAATATCTAATTATGCTAATCCTTTTTTAATTGTATATTTTCATTATTCTTTTATTGTGACCATCCATCAAAGGCCAGCCTAGAGGTAGTAGTCATCATTTCTGAGTGAACCGGGCGGCAGGATTTGTTGTCAGCAAAGACACTATTCTATTGGACCTGTAAAATGAATCATGAACCTACCCACGTTTGATTGATATATTTTTACCTGTGTAAGAATGAAAACTGTAGAGAGAAAACTTTTGTAAGGAACTGCAGGAAGCGTAATTTCAAGTTTTACTTTTGGAAATATTATGAATTGCCTATTAAATAAATTCACTCAATTAATCAATATGAAATTATTCATTTAATATCTTTAAAATCAATATACTCTCGTTTCAGTTCCTGAAAACAAATATATTATCGTTTTAGGTAACTTTTATTCATTTCGATGTTTGCATACTCTGTGCTTTTGCAGTTTTCTCTAATATTTTTACTAGTATTTTCCTGATGTCTCTCAAAAACAGATTTTCGTTACTACATTCGATATCGATCCCTAGGAGTTCGCTCATTTGCAAATATCCTAAGAACATTCCTAAGAAATACTGTTGTGATTCCTAAGAAATACTGCTAACCCTACATTCATAAGAAATACTGTTGTGAAAATAAAGGCCTGGTAATAACTTTTGTGGGCATGGTGTATGTATACATTCATGAATTCCACACACACGTATAAAAAGGGTTAAAGGGATTATTAAACAGGACTTCTGCAAGAAGATAGTGACCTAATATTCAATAACAGCAATTCTAATTGATATTTTGGCGCCAAAAGAGGTAGCTTTTATTAGTCTGATCAAACTTAAAAATGATGTTTAGTGTTAATTTATTTGCTTAAAATTCATCCGACTTCTAGTTAAATGACTTATTAACCCAACGTTACACATGTGTATATCTACAGATAATATATTTGTTTTCAGGAACTGAAACGAGAGTATATTGATTTTAAAGATATTAAATGAATAATTTCATATTGATTAATTGAGTGAATTTATTTAATAGGCAATTCATAATATTTCCAAAAGTAAAACTTGAAATGATGTGTTTAGATATCTAATCTAAACACAACTAGAAGGAGTTAGGCTGCACTTCGTTGGAAACTGAATCTGTTTAAACTGTAAAAGCAGTTTATGAATTTGTAAGCAGTACAATTATTCTTAAAGTAACTTTGATAACATAATATTAAATTTCATTAACTATAAATGCATAAAAGTGATTAAAATGATATCGAGGGCTTAGAATTTATATTATCATAAATCAAATATTTTCTTTACGCTTGCCATGCTGATTTTACCATACGTAGTCATGCCGATCATTAAAAATAAATATAATCAGAACGGTTTACAGAAATATTGTTGATCAGTTCCTTGTTTCGTTCTTGTCCTCAATCTAACGTGTATAATAATGGAATCAAATGCGGAGGTAATATTCATATTAGTGTGAAATTCATAATAGATAATCATGATGAAACTAGATGACACTACAGTGTTAATATTGTGGTATATTATAATCTTGTGATACCAGAGCTGGTGTAATCTGATGGCCGTTCGTCGTGTGACTGAACGGGATTATCTTCTGCACACGCGCTTCATGAGAACTTTGGTACTGAATATATTATGATACCATAATGATCTACAAGAAATTCTCGGTTCAATCTTTGAACGAATAATGACAGGCAGATAGAGTCAAAGGAAAACCAATTTCAAACCAGAACATGTAATTACTCTAAAGGTTTTCCTTTTCGAGATACTTCCATATTTAGCTTATATATTACTTATATATATATATAGCTTATATATTATATATATTACTTTCCATATTTAGTTTACATATCCACTTACTTTACTGGACTTTCGCGTGCAACTGATATTCAAATTCGCGGCGTTCAATAAATTTTCAGATATTTTTCAATAATGTTCAGTTATTGGAAGTTTAATTTTCAACAAAATGGCATGTAAAAACTCATAATGAGGGTGCTTATTATCATATAAAAATTCTGATGTTACGTTAAATGAAGGGGAAACTGATCAAGCTATTGATTACATAAATAAGATTTTAATAAAATGCCAGAATAGAAATAATTTTAAATGAGCAAAAGTTTCATTTTTATTAAATTAATTTATTAAATTATTTTATTAAATTATTAAATTATACACATTTTTTCCTGCATTTCATTTAAACTTATTGAATTCTACTTCTTCGATAGCGCATAAACCACAACAGAATGAATGTACGCTTTAAATTTCACTATATTTATATACCGTAGCTACACTCTGGCGCTAGATTCGCATAACAGCGTTACATTTCATTGATTTTATAACTCAGAATGCACAAAAATTATATCATCTGAAAAATTATCTAATTGTTACCACATGTTCTATTCAAATACTATAATAAATCTAAAATGATGTATAAAAGAAATTAAACAAATAAAAGGAAATAATAAAAATCTGAAAGGTTACAGATTTTGGTACTTTTCCGTTTCGCCGGCGCAAATCTCGCCAAGCAGACTTTATTGGGGCCAACATACAGTATACACATAAAAAATATTAAAAAAATGTTAGTTCTAAGAATTCTTTTTTTGAAGGCATAAACATTTTAATATCGCTTAAAATTTTATAAAAAGCCAATAAATAAAGACAATAAAATTATAAAAAGACATTAATTTAAGAATTTACTATGTTTTCATGGTTCAACATGATTCGCCGGTTCATATCACGTGACCCCAAGCGATCTCATCTCACGTAAACAACGTACAAAAATCTAATGCTCTCAGTAATTATCTACATTCTACATTAATTTCAAGTTAAATCTTAATTTGGAACACAAGTTTAAATGCAAGAAATATTTCAATTCGTACGAATAGCTTACTCAGAAATTATGTAAAACTGCAGTGCTTTACTTCGCTAATGCATTCTCATTGAATTAATGAATTTAACTCTTGACTTTACCTTTTCTATAGTTTTGGCTTCGGGTAAGCGCTATGATTGCATCCTAATTGATTTAATTACCGAAAATGGCCTTAGACATAAAACTGAACTAGCTGATAAAAATTCTATAAAATTATGTGCCAGTATGAAAGAATCAATCTGATAGGAAAAAGTTGCGACTTGTTTGAAAAATGAGGCGTCGTAAATTAGGTTTACCAGCGAGAATTTTTAACATTCCGGTTGCATTTGGCAATGTCGCAAATA